TCCCCCTTTTTTTTTTTTTTTTTTTTTTTTTGAGGCTGGGTCTGGCTAAATTGCCCAAAGTGGGCTTGAATTTATCTTTCTCTTGCCTTGGCTTCCCAGAGTGCTGGGGTTATATATGTATATGTCACCATGTCCTGCTTATGCACCATAAGGAAAAAACTATTATCTTTTATTCCCACCTTTAAATTATTTAGGGTAAGACAGTTTTGAGAAATGGGAGCTGAGTTACTTGACATACTGTTTTGATATTATACAGATACCTCATTCTTTTTTTTTTTTTTAACGTTTTAAAATAGGGAAAAAATTTATAAGTCATTAAGTTGTCCAGGTTGTGCTCAAACTTGGGATCTTCCTGCTTTAGTTCCCCACAATGATGGCATTAGTAGTGTGCACTGCCAAGCCTGGCTGCAAGATACGTTTTCTTTTCTTTTTTTTTTTTTATTGGTACATTTAATGTGCAGTATAATGACATTCATTGTTGGAAATTTGTACCTTTACATAATCATGGTTCTTATTTATTCCCCATTCCCCTGTCCTCCCTTCCTCTATCTACAAAGATTTTGTTTCCATTGTGCTAGATATATTTGCAAAGAAAATATTTCAGATTCTATGACACAAATCATTTGTGGAAGTAAGATGTATGTATAGTTTGTTCCATATGTAACTGCAGTGTAATAGCAAGTTCAGAAACATTCTATAGTTTTAAGTCTTTAAGAAACCAGCCAGATGTTATAGTGGCTCCTACCTGTAATCCCAGCCCACTGGTGGAGACTGAGATAGGATCACAGGTTTGAGCACAGCTTGGGCAACTTAGTGTTAAAACTCTGTCTTGAAAAAGTGAAAAGTACTGGGGAATTAGGTTAGTGTAAGGGACTTGAGTTCAATCCCTAAAAGTGTCTGAGGGTGATCTTTGGATTGGTAATGGCTATTTTCGGCCAAAGTCTATAAAAATTTCATTCTTGCTGTTTTGGGGGATTTTGAAGTTCAAATGATTTGCAGTTTGTTGTATTGCGGTTATTATGTGAATTCCAACTGCAGTTGAGACCTCCGGGGGGAATTGTTTTTGTTTCTCTATCTGCTTTTTTTTATAGTTTTTTTCCCATTTTCGGTACTGAGGATCAAACTTTGTCCTTTGCGCTTGCAAGGCAGGCGACAGAACCACTGAGCTAAATCCCTGGCCCTATCTGCTTTTTTAATTGATACTTAGCATCAACTAAGACCTAAGTATTTGCTAAATCAGAGATCTAGGTAATAAACAGTTTAAATTTAGGTAATTTTAAGAAGTTGAATGTGCTTTAAAAATTTTCTAACAGATTTTATTTTTACTTTTCAAAATCTATAAATTTATGTTAATGAATGTTTTACCCTTCATTGTATTTTATAGAAATTGTCCTTAAATAATGACATATTTGAGGCAAACTCTGATAGTGATCAGCAAAGTGAGGCAAAAGAAGATACTTCACCAAGAAAGAAAAAGAAAAAATTAAGGCAGAAAGAAGAGAAAAGCCCAGATGATCTGAAAAAGAAGAAAGTGAAGACTGGGAAACTAAAAGATAAATCGAAATCTGAGCTGAACAGCTCCTCTGAAAATTTGGTTTTTGATTTAAGGACAAAGAAAAGAATTTTGGAAGCCAAAGAAGAATTAAAAGATGCCAAAAAGCCCAAAAAAGATGAAATAAAAGAAACTAAGGAATTAAAGAAAGTTAAAAAGGCTGAAACAAGAGATTTAAAGACTAAAATAAGAGAAGATACCAAAGAAATCAGAAAAACAAGAAAAGAGAAATGTGGTGAATCTCAGCTAGACTTTGAGTCAAGTGTGGTTAATGATTCTCCTCTTCAGGAAGATACCAGTGAAGACTTACATTCTGACAACAGAGAAGAGAAACAAAAAATGAGAAGCTCGAAAGATAAAATGGGTGAGGATGCAGTGCAAGAAAAGCTTTCAGACACACAGCTGGATGACACTGGGAGTGCTGATGAGGGTGCCGATGGCAAGGGCAAGAGGAAGAAAAAGAAGCTGAGGAAGAGTGAAGAGCCAAAAGAGGGCACGAAGCTAGAAAGCAAGAATGCTTTTTTAGATAAAAGAACTGTGACTAAAAAGCAAAGGAATCAAGACAGAGGCAGGAATAACACAGAGTCAGATAAACTGTTGCCACTGGCATCTGTCCAGTCACAGAAGAGTTCCAGGTCAGCAGGTGAAGAGCGAGCCCTCCGCTCATCAGACGTGGCTGAGGAGGTAAGTGCAGCTGGGAGACCTAGAGAGTACCCGACTTTGTGTAGACTGGCGCTGGTTAGAGAGGTCAGAGAGCTTCGCCAGGAATGAGAAGGAATGGCCAGCTGGCAGTGTTGCCCTGCCCAGACTCACTGAATGCTGTGATTGCCTGGGCTCTCTGAGCACTGAAGATCCTCCCGCCTTTGTGTCTCCGCCTTGTCTTAGTCTCTGCCTTCAAGGACTAATTGATTAACAAGTCACAATGTTTTAGAGGTACTCAGATAATGTAGCATTGGGTAGAAACTCTTACAGTACCATCTTCACATCCTACTAGACATTTGCCCCATTGTCTGAAGAATATCACTTTTTGGGCCAGGGATTTAGCTCAATTGTGCCGCCACCTGCCTCACAAGCGCAAGGTCCTGTGTTCAATCCCCAGTACACCTCCCCCTAAAAGACTATCACTTTTTACTCCAGTACACATCCTATGTTATTTAATAGTTTGTCCCATTATAAAAATTATCTTTATATAACTGTTCAAAATGGAAATACTTTCTATGTTATAAAAGGCCATATGCAGTTTTTATCAAGGGCTTAAGACCCCTTTTCATCTGTTATTCCCAGTTTGGAGACTTTAAGGAAATCACTTTAAAGGGAGGAGGCAGTCTGTGTAGATATTTATGGAAATATTATCCTCAGTAGTGAAAAACTGAAAGATTGTCTAGCCAGGAGGAAAGTGGTTGCAGTGTTGGTACAACAGAGTGGAGATTGTAATAGCAATTGGAATGTTAAGAGGTTAAGGTAGGAAGTTGAGAGAATGGTGGTGAAAACCATACATACACATGAGCACAATCATGTAAAAATATCAATGCAATGTAAATAAAAAAGTTACCTATCCAGACCCTCAAGAATAAAGAGGGTTCAGGCTGGCTTTGAATATGCGGCAGTCCTCCTCAGCCTCCCAAGTGCTAGGGTTACAGGCATTCACCCACGCTCAGCTAAAATAAATTCTTAGTTAAGGGAAATGTTTGTTTTTGTTGTTGTTGTTTTGTTTTGGTTTTGGTTTGGTTTGGTTTTGGTTTTTTGAGACGGGGTCTCACTGTGTAGTTGAGACTGACCTGGAACTCACTGTGTATCCCAGGCTGGTCTCAAACTAACAGCGATCCTCCTGCCTCAGCCTCCTGAATGCTGGATTACAGGTGTGCACCACCACGCCTGGCACATCTTGTTTGTTTTTAAAGTACTGGGTATTGAACCAAGGGCCTTGTCCCTGGGATACATTCCTACTCCTTTTTTATTTTTTATTTTGAGACAAAATTTGGCTGAGTTACCCAGGTAGTACTTGAATTTACAGTCCTGCTTCAAGCCTCTCAGAGTGTTGGGATTAAAGGTGTGCGCCATGATGCCCAGCTATAACTATTTTTAGTGAAATTCTCAAGCCAGTGGAGAAACAGATATTTATTTTTTTGCAATATGTATACTTTAGTGAATCAACAGTAATACACCATAAATTCTTAATTTTGACACCAATATAGTCACCAATAAAGCCCCCTTTTATGACAAAGTACAGAAGACTTTGTCATATCTATGTCACTGAGAACTAGAAAGATAATGTTGCAAATTATAATGGACATTATATTCATCAAAAATTTCCCATTCCTTATTGCATGGTGCAGTTGCTACTTGGCAAAGCTAGTGCAGCATAGAAGTAAAAGCAAAACCTTGCTGGGCATGGTGGTGCACGCCGTTAATCTCAGCACTCTGAGGCTGAGACAGGAGGATCATCACTGCAAGTTTGAAACCAGCCTAAACTACATAGCGAGATCTTGTCTCAAAAACTGAAAAATGAAAAAGCCTCAAGTCTACAATTGTTAAACAGTTAGAAACCTGTTTGCTTGTTTTTTCAAATGTGTTCTTATTTTTGGGGGGGGGTACGAGGTATCATTAAGTCACCAGGTCGTCCAGACTGGGCTCAAACTTACGATTCTCGTGCCTCAGCCTCCCAGAGTGCTGATGTTACAGGTGTGCAGCACCACACCCCACTAGGTGTTGTGTTTTGAATTTGATACTGTAAAAGTCATACAGTCAGAGGATAGTCTTCATTGAGAAAGCAGTGGGAAAGATGATTGGTGGTCATGTACTATATTACATACAGTCATGGATGTGACAAGCCTATGCTTTTCAGATGTACAGAATCAGCTCTTTATTCATGATTAAAGTCTTAACCTGTCTTTTTTCAGGAGAAAGAGATAAAAAAAAATGAACCCAAAGAGAAATATCACAAAAGATGTGATTCAGAAAAGGAAGAAAAGAGCCGAAAAGAACCAAAGGGATTAAAGAGTAAGTTTTAAAAAAAAAGTAAATGTAAATACTGATATTTTATCATTTTTAGTCCTTTCTTTTTTTAAAAATTGAGTTTATTGGTACATTTTAGGTATACAGTGCATTTACATTCATTATTGGGATCTTGTACCCTTACATGACAGGTCTTGGTTCTCATTTTTTTCCCCTTGTCCCTGCCCTCCCTTCACCCCCTCCTCCCCTCCCCATTTACAAACACTTTATTTCCATCTTTTCATTTTCTCACATTTTTTTTCTTTTCCCTTATTACCCTTCCCCTACTCATCCCACCTTCCCTACACCTTTAGCCTTTTCTTCCCATTTCACAATGTCAGTTATCTCATTAGGATCTTATGTACTCCTAAGTGAAATAAATAAGTCACACATGTGTAAATACTGAATAGTTTCTCTGGTGTGAATAAACTATAATAGTCCTTTCTTTTTAAAGAATTGAACTCACTATGAAGGTAGTCTCTAAGTTGCAATGTCACAGAATTGGAAAATTTCACTGCAGAATTCAGAGCCTTTTATTACTTTGGTTTAACCAGTTTTCTAAGTGTATTACAGTTTGCATGTTTCTAATCCAAAATCTTTGGGACCAGAAGTGTTTTATTTTATTTATGTATTTATTTTTAATTTATTGGTACATTCTAGGTAGACAGTACAGTTGCATTCATTACTGGGATCTTGTACCTTTACATGACAGGTCTTGGTTCTCATTTTTTTCCCCTTGTCCCTGCCCTCCCTTCACCCCCTCCTCCCCTCCCCACCTTCAAACACTTTAATTCCATTTTTACATTTTCTCATATTATTTTCCTTTTCCCTTACTCCCCTTTCCCTAAGGGACCAGAAGTATTTTAGATTATGCATTTTTCCCCTGATTTTGGAACATGCACAGTATGTTTGTGATAGGACCTGTATCTACACACAGAAATACTGAAGCTCCACAGTACAGCCTTTAGTGAGTCTTCCCAAGGCATGCCAGCACCTTCTACTAGGGACTGACATCTAAGTACCTGGCATTCCTCTATGCTTCATATATACTTTACATAGATACTTGAAGGTAATTTTATATAATGGTTTTAGTTCACCTGTGGTGTTTACTTTGAGACAAGGTCTTGCCGAGTAGTAGCCCAGGCCTGCCTTGGATTCGCGGTGATCCTCCTACCTCATCCTCCCAAGAGATGGGATTACAGATGTGTCCAGCTAGTTCCCCTGTGTTTTGACTGTGACCTGTTAAATGAGATTCATGGGTAGAATTTTGCACTTGTATAATATCAATGCTCAGAAAGTTTCAAGGTCTGTATTTTTGGTTAGGAATCATTAGCCCAATTAACAATTATATATAATGTTAATATAGTATGTGTATGTACTGTATATTGTGTATTCTATTTAGCGTCTTTTCAGTATGACAGAATAGGTTAGAATTACAGAGATGAGAACTTACTTAAGGCAGCAAAGATGTCTTACAGTGGGTGCTAAGTAAAACATTAAAAAAATAGCAATTGTTGTTAACTCTGTCACTTGACTCCATATTGATGCAGTGGTGCCTGTCTGTAATCCCAGCACTCTGGTAAGCTGAGCCAGTAAGATCGCAAGTGCAAGGCAAGCCTGGGCAATTTAGTGACTTAGTAAGACCTGTTTCTAAAACTAAAAAGGAGCTGAGGCGTGGTGGTGCACGCCTGTAATCCCAGCACTTGGGAGGCTGAGGCAGGAGGATCACTGTGAGTTCAAGACCAGCCTGGGCTGCATAGTGAGTTCCAGGTCAGTCTCAACTGCATAGTGAGACCCTGTCTCAAAAAAACTAAAACTGCAGCTCAGTTCGAAGGAACTGGGTTTCACATTACCACAAAAATACATCGAATATGTGTTTTGGATCACTTCACAACATACAAAAATTGAGAATCCCTAACATATGTTACTGTTGGAACCAAGTGGCTTTTTTTTTTTTTTTAAGCCACCATTATAGTGTTTAAGCCCCAGCAGATGAGTATTTTATTATTATCTGTATGAAAAGTATTTGGAACATATATGCTCTTGAAAGTAGTGATTCTAAGAGATGAAATATTTTCTCTCAAAAGCTGTATGTAACTGAAATAATTAAAATAGAATTTGTTTTTTTTAATATATATTATATATCATGTGTAACAAATATGTACATGCACATAAATATTACATAAATATATAGTGTGTGTTTGTCTTTGGGATATTTTTGCCCATTTGCTGAGGATCAAGTTTAGGGTCTGCCTGTGCTAGGCCTCTGAGCTTTATCTCTGCTCTCCCTCCAACTTTATGTATCAAATTTCAAGTGCATTTTTGCTGTGAACACACAGCCTTCATTGGAACTATTATCACCCCGTTTATAATTTTAGGCCCTAGGAGTCTTGTTTTCAGTATTCCTGATAATCAGACTTTGAATTTATGAGTCCTTTGTAATTGTCAGTACTTTGCCAGTTCTCTTCACAGTTTATTTTGTGTGCTGCTGGAGATTAAAGCCTTACACATGCTAGTAACTGCATGCCGTACCACTGAGCTACCACTGAGCTAAATACCCTGCCAGTGTTTCTTCTCAGTTTTATTTTTAGTTCAAAACTAGTGTCAGGCTGGGTGTGGTGGCACACACCTATAATCCCAGCACTCAGGAGGCTGAGGCAGGATCACTGCAAGTTCAAGGCCAGCCTGGGCTATGTAGTTTAAGACCAGCCTGAACTACATAGCAAGACCCTGTCTCAAATAACCCCTTATTCCCTCAAACAAAAACACAAGTGGCAGTAGTAGTTTTACCAGGTGTGCTATCAGTGTTCCGGTACCTGACTGTTTCTCCTGCTCACCACCAGAAATGGTTCCTGCGCAAGCTCCAAGCTGCGGTACAGACAGGCTGGTATCTTTGGCAGTAAGAAGTTTGGTGATGTAATGAGAATCATTTGGAGGCTCATCCCTTGAATAGTCACTGTCACAACTGTAGGAGAGTAGCTCAAAGGATCTGAGCAGCTGCCATTCCCCCAGGACATTGTGTCCACTAGCTAATGAGCAGGCGGTAGAAAGATTGCTCTGAAATGGCTTTGAGAGTTTGACTATAAATCTGACCATACTTTTTATAACCAAGGCAGATAGATACTAGTAAAAATTTTTTAAATGTTTCTATTACTAACCCAGATTTTCTTCTGATTGCAATAGAAATCTGTGACTCCTATTTAATATCAGTTTTTATTTTTGCATTAGCATTTAAGGAAATCAGAAATGCATTTGATTTATTTAAAAAAAATACAGAAGAAAAAAATGATGCTCCTGAGAGTAATTGGAAAAAAGAAGAAATATTGGATTGTAAAACTGCAGAAGACCAGAAAAGCAAAGAAAACAAGTACTCATGTAAAGAAAGGAGAGCTACAAGAGAGGAAACTGACACTTGGGCGCACATTGTTGCAGAAGACGAGCAGGAGGGTTTGGACAGTGTGTGTCCAACAGATGAGAGTTTGGGTGAGTTTGCTTGATACTGTTTTGCAGAGTGCTTTTAGAGTAGTGCACCATATTGGTTATTCTTATCTACCACAATAATGCTGATCAGAAAATAACAGATTTTATTTGGATTTCCTGAATAAAAACTTTATATTGAAGACTTGAGTCATTCTTTGACTTCTAAATGGATCAAAAAAATATTTTCTATGTTCCTGTAATATGCTTTAGCACATTGAGAAATTATAAATTTTTAAAACTTGCAACCTGTGTATTATTAGATTCTTTTTAGAAAATCATCACATACAGGCTTTTTGGTGGTGGTGGCACTTGGGATCAAACCCAGGGTTGATGTGTCAGTGAGCTATGTCCCCCTCCCTTTTTAAGTTTTGGAGACAAGGTTGCACTAAGTTTTCCAAGTAGGTCTCAAATTTGCAGTAATCTCCATTCACCTCACTTGTGGGGATTACAAGCCTGAACCACCATGCCTGGTTTGTATTCTTCCCTTTTAACATTGTACTAAATCAAACCACATAAGATAGTTTCAAGCAGTATCCTTCGGGCATTGCAGTTAACTGAGAAGGGTAGACTGCAGAGTACAAAGCTATGGGGAGGAGCAAGACACGTGCATACATACAGAGCTTGATAAAACAAGGTTAATCTGATTACATTGTAATTTTGTATTTACTTATTTTTTTAATAAATTTTAAAGGGCCGGGGATTTAGCTCAGTGTTTCCACCGCTTGTCTTGCAAGCACAAGGACTCAAGTTCAATCCCCATTATCAATTAATCAATAAAATAAATAATAAATTTTAAGAAAATCCTTAAAATAAGTTAGGGCTAGGGATTTAGCTTAATGGTTCTGGTGCCTGCCTCTCAGGCACAAGGGCCTGAGTTTGATCCCTGGTACCACAAAAAGAAAAAATAAAATCAAGTGAGACGATATGACAGACTGGATATTCTGCAAATACTCACTTATTGTGAAACAGCTAGATCTTAGATAGCTGGGTAGAACATGCTTTTGGAGGCACTGTTGAGCTTGTAAGAAATTGGAATGATTTCTGGAACTAGTTGTGGTGGCGCATGCTTATATTCCCAATACTTGGGAGGCTGCAGCAGGAGTCCTGCTGTTAAGATCGAGGCCAGCCTGAACTACACTGTGAGACCCTGTCTCAAAAAAAAAAAAAAAGCTCCAAAAGATACCATACAGAGCAGATGCAGGAGGGAGAGCAGTAGTACAGCCAGAAGTTTATTTCTTGAAAAGACTAAAGAAATGAACAAGCTTCTGAAAGTTAAAAAGAAGCCTTAAACCTTACAGTTACAGACTTTCTACAGATTAAAAAGATAAAGGAATTCTACATGCCATTTCTTACCAATGGATTTGAAAAGTGAATAACATGGGGAAATTCCTGGAAAAATATACAAAATCTACTCAGAACCACAGGCTTGCGGTATTAGCACTCTGACATACTGAGGCAGGAGGGTCACAAACTCAAGCCCAGCCCAGGCAGGTGAGCATCTTAGTATCACCCTGCCTCAAAACTAAAAAAAAAAGCCAGTGATACAGCTCAGTGTGAAGATCCTGGGTTCAGTCTCCATACCACCAAAAGCAAAAAGAAAAATCAATTGAGTAATCTTACGACATTTTTTATTTTTTTATTTTTTGAGACAAGGTCTCACCATATAGTGCAGGCTGGCCTTCAATACACTGTGTAGCCCACGCTCACCTTGAACTTACAGCCATTACTGCTTCAGCCTCCCAAGTGCTAGAATTACAGGTGTGTGCCACCATGTCTGGCAAATCTTTTTTTGGACACAGTGTTTCAATATGTAGTTCAGGACGGCCTTGAAATCATATAGTCTACACTGGCCTCTAAACTCATGGCACAATCCTCCTGGCTCAGTCTCCCAAGTACTGGGATTACAGGCATGTGCTATATCAGGTCTAACTGTGGCAGATAATTCTGTAGCTATTAAAACTGGATGTGGTTGTATATGCCTGTAATCCCAAAACGTGGGAGGCTGACGCAGGAGGATTGCTAAGAGTTCAAGGCCATAGTGAGACCCAGTCTCTACTCCCCCAAAACAAACCATGAAATGGTAATTAAAATAGATTTAACAGTAAGATCAGATGGGGGTTTATATGCAAGGGCTACCAAGCATGAAAAGTATTCTTAAATGCTAATTCATTATTTGAGACCATTATAACTAATATCAAAACCAGACAAAAACTGTGTAAGAAAGGAAAATAACAGGCAAGCTGATGGATAAGTTTCAGTGTAAAAATTTTAGGGGCAGGGATTTAGCTCAGTGGTGCCACCTCCTGCCTTGTTAAGTGCAAGATCCCGAGTTCAATCCCTGGTACCAAAAAAAAAAAAAAAAAAA